ATCTGGCGGGTGGTCATGATTAAAACGTCATGGAGAGATTAAAGAAATCGATTTCTCATAACCTCACAATTTTCGAGTATCGAGATATGGAGTATGGATTCGCTTCGCCAAGTGATCAAATGTCTGCAGAGGTTAAAGTTGTGCGTAACATCGCATACACAAGGTCATTGGATCTTTTGAGGAAGGAGATGGGACCTTATTACAATCTATCAGCCTTATGGGACAAACATGTTGAGTGTGAATTTTTCGCGAGAGATGCGCAAAAGATCATGGAAACTATGGTAAATTTTAGCATGTCGCATGTCGTCAGTATACCGTGTGTCGGATTATGGCGCCGTAACTTGCTGCGATGTCTTTTTATCTTGAATTATTATGATAAAGGTTGTCGACGCATATGTTAACAACATTCCAACAATGACCGGCGGTGTCGGGCGTGAACATCTTGAACAATTCTGTATGGATTTTTTTTTTTTTTTTTTTTTGATAAATGTATACTTATTTCCCAATTCGCAATAGATCGAAATCACTTTATTCACTCCAATCCACCTGACACGCGAATAATTCCAATTTCTCGAACGGTTGGTACTGGCCGGCTGGTTGAGGAAATGATATTCTGTTTCACCCATACCCAAGAAATTGATTGGCTTCTTCCGGGGGTCGCGCCAACTAACAAATACGTTGAGATACCGATGGTGGGAATTATCAGTTTTCGCGGTGATAAATTATGTAATGAGCATATCTATTGGGATCAGGCATCAGTACTTGTGCAAATTGGTGTACTGGATAAAGGAGAAATTCCCGTGACGGGAAGAGAGCAGGCCGAAAAGTTGATGGGCAAGAGTTTGCCGAACAATGAATTGTTGAAAAAATCGAAGAAGAATTTATAACGAGTAATGTAACATCAAACAAAATTGCGGTTCAGAAATTTCTGTGCAATCATTCCAGTAGAACGTAATGGAATTGTATTTCCTTTTTTGATTCATTGGCTGATACTCTTTTTTTTTTTTTTTCACAATAAATGTCATAAATCCTGTATTCGGAACCGTTTCAATGATGGTGTTACTGTACATACAAAGTCAAGTCGCCTGAAACATAACGATAAAAGTTCAGAATGAGGCGTGTGGTGAATCCAAATAAAGACTTGCATATTCTTTTTTTTTTTTTTTTTTTTGGATCGAAACTTAAAATATTTTAACATGACACTGATGGGAACAGTGAAGATTGAAACTTAAAAAAAAAAAAAAAAAAAAAAAAAATTTCTTTTCTACGCCACGATTAGAGATCGCGATGTTTTTTCTTCTTGAGATCCTACAGCGAAGAGATGAATTTAAAATTAAATATTGTATACGAAAAAAAAGAGAGATCCTTGTTCGTATGACATGCGATGACATAGTTTCTAATCGTTGGAAATGCGTAGCGTATGCGCACGTTAGGCACGTACGTACGTACGTGCGCATATAAGAAATGGGGTTCGTTTCCAAATTACTGAAGCCCCGACAACCAGTTGGAAGCGAGTTTTCATTCAGTTATGGCGTAATTGAAGATTGCATTAGAGAATCACCAGGTAGAACCCTCCTGTGCGACGGTATGAGGCATCGCGAATGACAACAGCTCTTCTGCCCACTGTAAGAAAAAAAAATTTTTTTTTTCAAGATTCAAGGGGTGAGCAATAGTTGATTATTCTTGCATGAAAAAAAAAAAAAAAAAAAAAACAAGGATGTATTCGTGAACCTGCCATTCTCCGAAAAAAGAAAAAAAAAAAAGGCAGTCCTTTTGATCTTGATTCTCCCGATTTTGATTATTTTATTGGTAGCTCATACGTGAATTCATTTTAAATACTTATGTGTATGAGAAGGCTTTAACTATACGTACGTACAGTAAGTAAGAATGAATGAATGCCAATGAACGGCTCATGATCTAAAAGTTTCCAATCTGAGTGATCATTGTAATATCTATAAAAGAATTCTAATATAAAGGGTTGATTTATATACGTGCACACAATTTTGGAATAAGTAAGTTGATTGCTTTTTTAACTCCGCCACCTTGGTTAACAATCGTCCACTCTCACATCTACAACATCACGCATGCCAACGCTCAATTCTTTTTTCTAATGCCTTTTTCCGTCTTTCCATACCCCTTAACCTTTTATCGATCCGATTTTCCTTTATGTTCGCCTTTATATATAAATAAAGTAGGTGTAATTAAGATAAATGAAAATGTAAAATGGAATAAAAAGATGATGCATGAAATATATTGATTGGGACGTATCACCGTAAATACAAATAAATAAAATCATCATTGATGAATATGAGAATGACAAATAATAATAATGTACAATGATATGATCTTTCTTCTTTCTTTTAGCCAGGCCCTTTTGGGCATGCATGTTCAATATCAAATATACAATAATATTAAGTGCGTAGTGCAATTGAGGAATTCTCTTTTAGCCCGCTTGGCAAAAAAAAAAAAATGATTCTTGCCTTTTAAAACTTGCTTGTTTCCTTATTTGTAACAGGCAAATCAAGTAATGCGTTCCCAAGATGCATCGATATGTGTAATGTGTTCTTTATTGAAAAGTTCTGAAGAATCTGATTGGTCGGTTTTCGGAAAATCTTTAATCATTCATGTATTATTTTGAATTAGTAATTTGTGTTCGGTGCTCTGTGAATAATAAAAATTTCCGAAATTATCATTTTTTCAAAAAGAGAACGTGCTTGCTACTTACGATAGTCGTTCATCACCGAGGTTTGACCAGAATTAAAATCTGGGATCGGGTGAGCATGAAAGATATGATTATTGTATCCTTATAATTCCGGTGTGGGTACTTTCGCTCCTTAATGAACACATTTATGAACGACGAAGTAGCCGATTTCGGCATCGCACATAAAAATAATTATATAATATTTACTTATTCGTATCTTTTTTTACGACAATTTATCTACGGAAAATTTCCCTATTGATCGTTCGGTTTCGCTAAAGTCGATGACACTTGTCTTGAAATGTTTGCTTGTATCCACGATCGTACAAAGAAATTTACGAATACCGATGAATGTCTTCGTTTTACTTTTTTTTTTTTACTTTTTTCTTTATTATTAATTATGATGTTTTTTTTTTTCGTCATTTAAAAGGCTGAAAGTGCGTTCGGTCAAGGAAAAGAGGAAAAAAAAAAAAAAAAAAAAAAAAAAAAAAAAAATTTTTTCAAAAAAAAGTGAGGATAAAATGTTTCTGATGTGACTGAAGATTGCATGGTGTAATTTCACCGACTCTTTCCGTTAATGCGTGATAGATATTATACATCTGACCCTTTTTTTTGCTTCTAGAAAAAGTGTCGAACCCTCTATGTGTATATTAAAAAAAAAAGAGCCGTTACGAAATTCTAAATTTACCCGTCGTAATAACATATATAAATAATGTTTTTTCTGTGTGTAACAATGGCCAAATCAACGATTCTCGACTGTTACCATTGAAGTGGTTGTTGGACTAGCTCTCATTGCGTAGTGACCTTGTATGGATGATTAATTAATTAATCCTATTTCTAAATGTCTCTTTCAGATCATATTATGTATATGAATATAGATATTGTGAAATTAACTACAGAGATGTTTTTGGTATTAAAAGAAGATTTTTTTTTTGTCTTTAAACAATGTCCATGCCGCTAACAAACTTCCCCAGAGGATGAACCTTCTGGAATTTCCCTCCGGGTGACATTATTGCCATCCATCTCACCGTCCACATTTATCCTTTCCCTATTCTCCATCAACATTCCATTAGGAGATATCATTGCAAAGGATGCTGTCAGCGTCGTCGGGTCGTATCGTCTGGGTATTGGTGACAGTATGTGAGAAGTGTGACTACGTTCGGTAGACGATTCCAAATCATCGTCAATAAAGTGACCAATGTCATAACTTTCAATTAATTCTTCACCAAAGTTGGATCTGGAATCGTATGGATTGATAACGTTACCCCTTCGAACGCTGTGCCTTAAACGCCGTGGTAACGGCGGTAACGGCGGTAACGGTGGTAATGATTCGGGAACTTCCGAAGGAAAGGTCGGCGGTATGTAAGGACCGGAAACACGAATCAACGGTGGTATGGGCGGCATGTCTATCCCGCGTTGAATGAAGCCTTCCCTTGTCAATGCGTCTCTCCTGTGATTTCTAGATCCAGGTCTAATGCTACGATTATCATGAGTAAGCTGACGAAATATATTTACACGTCTGAAAACATTATCTAACACTGCGTTATTCGTGACGTTATTACTTATGTGGTTATTATCCCTTGGTGCACTATTTGAGGGTAATTCCGTCGGACGAGGATTTATGGCAGTCAAATCGTCGGAATTTGATTCATTCGTTTCTTCCGACGAATCGCCATTTCTCACCCCATCGCTAGGTGCCGATGCATTCGATGAATCCTGTTGTGCTCGTGCTTGCTGTGCCTGTAGTACCTGCTGTAGTGCTTGTTGTTGTGCTGCGCGTATTAACTGCGCCGACTGTAATTGCATTCCGCGTCTGGAAGCCAAACCCGAAGACGTGATTTGCGGTTCTCTTGTACGATGCAGGTGAGGAAGGTTGCCTAACCTTTGGACTAGGTTGTTATATGGCAACGAAGAAGATCTTATCCTTTGAGGTCGCAGCTGTTCGTTTTGAAGTGGCGTTTGTGAACTAGGATCCCTTAGGTGAGACCACTCTGAAATCTCTGTAATCGGTTGTCGGTCAGTCAAATTTACCTCCGAAGAACTATAAAAATCACTACTATTAACTCCGCCCCTCGTATAATATTCACCACCTGCATATGGTCGACGAATTATGTAACGACGATTACCGTATGCACTCGTTCTGGAATTTTGATATAAATCTTCAGAATAGTCGACTTCTTCATAAGGTGACTGTGGTTGTTTTGGCGGGAGCTGTCTCTTCGGAAGAGACGGTGAAACATACATTGGAAGTCCCATATTTGTCAAGATAACTCGTCTCCTTCCTTTATCGGGTTTTTTCTTAATAATTTTTTTTGTTAGTTGTAATTATAATAATTATAATGATAGAATGTGAGAATGTGGTATCAAATGCAAAAAAAAAAAATTTCTGGACGGTCAAGATTCATGACTCCTTTATATATGTAGTTTTTTTTTTTCTACTAGAAATTTTTTTCACTACTCAAACATGCAGAAAAAAAAATTTTTTTTTTTTTTATTATATAATTTAATTTTTTTATTAGTCATAACATTTTTTTTTTTTGGTACAGTAGTATAAAAATCGATGATAAAATTAGAGGACAAAAAAAAAAAAAAACCACTTGTCTCTCCGTTGGGTGAAGATCAACCCCTGTTTATTTGTTTGTTGAAGAACAAGAAAAAAAGGGGAAAGCAAAAGAAAAAGGGACCGAAATTACAGGGTTACCGTGGCTAGGAGTATTGTGTACATATATATACAGTATTGAAAATTGATCAATAACAGTGCCGCCAAAAAAAATTTTTTTTTTTTCTTTTACTCTTTCCCTTTTTGGCAATATGTTTTTTTCAGATTTAGAACCAGATTAAAATGTATGTTTATTGTACGCCATCGTTTTTCGTATGACCGCAGTAAAACGCCCGATCGAACTTCAACTTTTCAATGTAATACGGTAATATAAATTTACTAAAAGAAAAAAAAACGAAAAAAAAAAATTTTTTTTTTTCTCTTTAAAATACTGCGATCACGCGACATGACTCATCAATCGTGGCAATTTTTTTTTATCATTTCTGCACTTAATTTATAGGCGGTCAGGCCTATATAAATTTGGCTAAAATTTTCGTTCCGTCTATGCGTAGCCAATAATTTTGTTAAGAAATTTTTTTTTTTTTTTGGCGTGTGCACAGTGGTGAGATGGATCATGATTTATCGAAACAGATGAAAATTTTTTCTTTTTTTTTTTTTCATGATAACAAAAACATAAGAAAATTTTTTTCTTTTGCAACAAAAAAAATCGTCATGTTAGGAAAAACAATCGGATATAAATAAAAATTTTTTTTTTTTGTGATCATTATTATTTTTAAAAAATAAGCATTTCGAAGATATCATTAGGGAAAAATTACCGAAATGTATACATTTGAAAGAAAAAAAAAAGATAAATATAATGAAATTAATATGACTTGTCTTCATTATGCAAGCTAAATATGTATTCTTTATTAAACATATGTATACTTTACATTGGTAAATGTATCACTAAAGTTAAGTTTCTACCTAATTTATTCATCTCTATTTTAAGAATTATTAAAACTTTTAAGTGCAATTTTGTGAATCATTTATCATTTTGTTAATAGTTCAAATAAAGATCTTTTCAATTGTTAACTTCATTGTCTACAGATCATTACTGCAAATTATTCTACGAGGTTCTAATAGAGCTTAAAACCCAATCATTTTATTTTATACTTTACTCTTCTTGTTAAAATTTCTCAAAAACTTTCATCTTCAAGGTTTCTTTCTTCAAGTATTGATTTTCTTCTCTTTGGAAGCATAGTTTTCTAATCTAAATGATATAAAAATTCTTTTGTCTTGTTCTTTCTATTTATTCCTTCCATTCAATTATCTTTTATATTTCTTGTTCCAAACTTTTTTTCAGACTTGATTATAAATTCTTTTTTATATCTTTATTATATACTTTCTTATTATTCTTTTTATACATTTATCTTGATATTTTAGATATATTGTTTCTAAAGTGAGATTGTTTTTTATAAGATTTAGTATAAAACTTAGAATATTTTGGTTGATTTTAAAAGTTTATTCCACTACTCTAGAGATTTACTTATTAAACTCTCCTATTTCTTCTTGATCATTAATGATCAACCTAAAATTTTTTTTTCTGACTCTCTCTTTCTTTTTTATAGAAACTCTTTAAAGTTTTTAATAATTCTATTTATTTTTTTATTCTATACCTCTTATAGTTGATCCTTATTAGCTAAACATTCTAGCAAGTGTTCTATACACTAGTCGAAAAATATTTATTCGGCATAATGCCACTTGTGTAACATTCATCAAAAAACAAATAATTCAGCATATTAATGATATAAATAAATCGTCAATCTATTTCTACTATATAATTCAGCAAATAATTCGGCATAAATAAATCGTCAATCGATTTCTACTATATAATTCGGCATATAATTTAAAT